GACCTCCCCACTATCACCTCTCTCCTCCTGTCGCCTCTCTTCTGTCATCGACGCTCTCTGATGGAAAGAGATGTCGTTCCCCGCACTCCCTCACTCTCTGCTGGTTGTGAAAACAAGGATATCCCTCTATTGTTGACCAGTCCAGCTGGACAGAGTGGAGGGTGTGGTCAGAGCGCGCTCACACCACAGCGACACTTTTGCTCACGCTGCAGACTTTCATTCTGTCTCTTTCTCTTAAACAAACACATATTTTCACACGGTCGGCGCGGCGCGCTGAATCCCGCGGACGTCCTGTCACAGCCGAGCGGGGCTGAAGCTTCTGGATGTTTGGAAGAATCGGAGGAAGTGTTGAAGTAATCGAGCAGGAGGATTTTACAAAGACAGCGTGAGCGGGAGGATGGGGAGGAGGCGTTTTTCCATCAGGAAGCCGTGAGCTGCTGTCAGCATCTGGACGTCCCGACTGCAGCCGGTAAAGCACCGGCTCCTCCTCACCAACTGTTGGCTTGAATTATCTTCCATTAATTAAGATTATTGCTTTAAATTTGTTTCTATATGTTTGCCTGAAGTTTATACAGAAACACTTAAGGTTAAAAAAAGTTCATTCTTGGTAATTACGGGAACAGGAACTGTCTGCGGTGGAGACAGATGCCTGGAAACTTTTTTTTTTGGCAGCACTGAAATGAGATGTTAGATAAGAAGTGGATGCACCAGCGTGACTCCTCCCACTGTTTTCAGGGCTTTGTAGCCTCAACAGACAAGCTCAGTGTTAATCAGAGCTCAGTGACATCCAATTAACTGCAGACAGTGTTAGTACAGCAACCTCACAGCAGCCGTGTGATTGGTTACGTCATGTTAGAGCTCAGGGACCTCCGCCTGTTTGCCATCTACCTGTCAGTCACAGAGGCCACGCCCCTAACAGTTGTTTGTCTCTGTCTCCTGATAAACTGTTGGCCTCTCTCTTCTCCGATATGTAAAACTGTGTCATCTGCATATAGTGACACTCTTCTTCTGCTCATTCCTCTCTTTCACTTCCTCTCAATCTTTTTTCTGTAACAAAAGTTTGAAACTGTTTTTATTAACTTACCTGTAGAGACCAAACAGTTTGTGTCAGGCTGTAAAGTTTTAACATGAGCGTCTGTGGGGGCGGACCCCCTGCTGGAGCGTCAGAGGAACTGCAGGTTTTTATCCCATTTGTTTGCACATCTGACCTCGAACATTTGTTCTTGCTGTTGAACCTGTTAGCAGCTGATTTCAGGCTTTAGTGGGTAACAGCTCTGCAGCTCTGGAGCTGCTCAGTGTGATTTGGTGTCTTTTAAAAGCATCTTCTAACCTGCACTCGACCATTTATATCGAGATTAAAGCAGAGCATCAGATTTTGCTGCAGCCTCTGTGAGCTCTTTGAACCTGCTGCAGGTTCTCCTCCAGCTCACAGGAGGTCTCCAGAACAGATCCAGGACCAGCCGAAGGATGTCGAGGAACACGGTCGCAGCAGCCTGGGGAAACAAAGTGGCTGCTTGTTGTTCAGTATAAGAAC